TCTGTGAGCTGTCAGCTGCTTGGCCCCCTCCCCCTCTCTCCCTCCCTCCAATTTTTCTTTCTCCTTCTTTCTTTTCCACCCCACCCACCGTGGAGAGTGACTGACGTATCCCCACTCAGCCTTGTCAACGTATCTTTAAACATCACCCAGGTGGGGTAAACCGAACCCAATGTAAATTATTTCTTGTCTTCCTTGCTGGGGTGGGCAGGTTGGGTGGGCTTTTTCCTCTGTCCCCATGAATATTTCATGCTAGGTTGCATAAATATTAATCCTAATAGCTGTGCACAGCGGTTATTATTTCTGTCTTATGACAAATATTCATAAAATATTCAGGATCCCTTTTCGGGAACATTTACACACTTGATTGTGGAATGTCTTTTCGGGCACGCGCTAAACATATTGGGGTGCTCTTGATGGACCGGTTTCCCCTCCCCTCCCTTCCGCCAGCCTCCGCTTCCCTCCATCCTCTTAATTAATACTCTGAAATATAAATATTTAATCAGATTTATTTTGCGTTTTCCCCCCCCCCCTCTATTAAACTGGAAAGGTTCGATTTGACAGTATTTAAAAAGCGAGAACGTATTCTCTATTAGGAGGCCGGTTACTTCTGACACGTGTGTAACATGGCATATCATTGGTTCTTTCTTTCTTTTTTAACCCCTCCCTGTTCCCTTATTTGCATTTTTGGGGACCTGTTTTTCCCCTCACCTCTAAAAAAAAATGTATTATTCAAAGAACATAAAAACCTCGCCCTTCCTGGGAAAGTTTCTGTCCCGAGCATAAAGGACTGCTTCTGTTTTGTTTAGTTTACTTTCTTTCCTTGCACCTCGTACAACGGAATTAAATGCCATCTTCAGTGTACGTTATAACTATAAAAATAGAACCCAAACACACCTCCTTCCCATTCTATACAAATGTTTAGGAAAGGACAGAGGGGATTAAATGTCATTTTTCCCCCCCTCGTGCATGCCAGGCAGAGAATGCATTTGCTGCTTTCCCCAAACCACTTTCAAAGAAAGGCAGCTTGTTTATTTAAGCTACCTAATGGGTCCGGCATCTTGGAAGCTTCTTGGATGCAAAGTCAAGAAATCAGAACTGAAGAAGCTTCTTGGACAAGAAGGGAAACCTCTTTTTCTTCAGAGGACAAAGAGAGTCCAGTTGCCCTTTGAAAAAAGCACCTTGAAGACAGCATGGATTTGAGCCAAACCTCTCTCCAGCAGTTGAAGCCCCGTCTGGAATCTGCTTGACATAAGATGGTACCGGTCAAAGGGGGGCGCAAAAGATCTCAGAGAAGAACGGAAAATATTTTGTTTTGGGTAGAAAAGAGCCTGACGATGTAACTTTTAGGGAGAGAGAGAGATTAAAAGGTAACAGTTCTTAAAAACGTTGTGAAGGATATTGGAAGTCACTTCTTCCCCTTTCTAGCTTTTCTCTTTCAATTGCCTAAGCAGGGGGTTGGACGAGATGACCTCCAAGGTCCCTTCCAACTCTGTTATTCTAAGTTAAGTTTTTGTGCTACTTCCTTCCTTCCTTCCTTCCTTCCTTCCTTCCTTCCTTCCTTCCTTCCTTCCTTCCTTCCTCCCTCCCTCCCTCCCTCCCTCCCTCCCTCCCTTCCTTCCTTCCTGTTTGTATCAGTTTCTATCTTTTTGTCAAGGTTAAGTAAAAAATAAAAAATCACACACACACACACACACACACACACGCCACATAAAACCAACTGGACTCCCACCAAGTTCTCCCTCTGGCTCTTCCCAACCACGCAGGCCTTAGCCTCTCCCAAACCCGCCTGTGAAGGAACACACACACACACACACCCCGCCCGCCCTCCTGCCGTGCCAGCAAAGTGAGGAGGGGGCTAAACAGCATCCAAGTCGTGGGCTTCCTTTTCTTCCCTGCTCCGTCAAGTGCCATCAGAACAACCTCCCCGGGGGGAATTTCCCCATGATGGAATAACAAACGAGAGTAAGGAGGGAGAGAGCCGTGCATAACAACCAGGGAAGGAGGCGGGAGGCCCCTCTGGGAAGCTGGTGGACCTCGCCTGCCAGGCGGAAGAAGAGAACGAACGAGGAAGTGTGGGGATGAGCCTCTGAAGGTGGCCTCAACCCCTCCAAATGTTTGCTCCGTGCGAAGGCCAGAGTAAGCAGGGCATCTTGGGTTACGTTCCCAGAGTGGAGAAGAAGCTTCCACGTTTTCTCAGGTTGGGTGAGTGGCAGAATTGAAAACCCAAAACCTCCTTCCTTTGGGGAACTTCATCGAGGGGATATTATGATAACAGATAATCAGAGTTGGAAGGGACCTTACAGGTCATCTAGTCCAACCCCCCCCCCCGCCCAAGTGGGAGACCCGACACCATTTCCGACAAATGGCAAATCTCTTCTTGAAAGTTGCAAGTCTCAAGCTCCCACAACTTCTGTTCCATGGGTTGATTGTTCTCGCTGTCAAAATATTCCTCCTTATTTCCAGATGGAATCTCTCCTTGATCAGTTTCCATCCATTCTTCCTTGTCCTGGCCTTCGGGTGCCTTGGGAAATAGCGTGACCCCCCTCTTCTTCTCTGGGGCAGCCCCTCAAATATTGGAAGACTGCTCTCCTGTCTCCCCTGGTCCTTCTCTTCACTGGACTAGCCTGGCCCAGAACCGGTCCGAACCGGTAGAATACCATCACTGCGGTACCCATATGGTGCAGTAGTGGGAGGCTGCCGGTTCACACCGGTTCTATTGAACCGGTAGCTCCGGCGAGCAGTTGGCTCTGCCCTTAGCTCAGCTGATCCACGTAGCAGAACGAATCGCCACACCTCAGCTGTTTTACTCACCAGCGCTGACGTAGAAGTGTGCGCACGTGCGCGAAGTGCACTCTCCTAGAACCGGTAGTAAAAAAAAATTTGAATCCCACCACTGATAATGGTGACCGCCGTGGCTTACGATGGGGAACGTCAGTGCGTTTCAGGCTTAAGAATAGGACTCTTCTGGGCACGCAGGGACTTGAGACTGATGATGTGTTTTGCGCCCCTCCTTCGGGCACACCTTGGTCCCCTTCTACAATCCAACGTTTAACCAACGTTTATCCTATGTTTTAGCCTCCAGCCCCCTAATCATCTTCATTGCTCTTCTCTGCACTCTTTTGAGGGTCTCCACGTCTCGCTTGTCGTGTTCTTCACCTGGCGATAGGTGATGCCAGGAAACAAAACCAGTCCGATCCTGGTCATTTTTAGGCAGAAGATGGGAATCCCCTCCCCCCTTTTCCCATTCTTCCACCAACTTGCCTTGCCTGCTGACACCGCCGTGGATAATAAGACAGACACCCCAAACATACATATATCGGAAGACGAAAAGCGCATTTTTGACAAGACGTGTCCAAGATGTGTTTTGTTAGTGGCTTCGCAAAGAAGCTCTTTTTTCGTTGTTTTCGACTCCCTCCCCTTTTCCCTCATTCCCGACAAGCTTTCTTGAGATGCCTTTCCCTTTTTTGTGGGTGTTTTGTTTTGTTGATTTGGAAAATATAATGGGGGAAGAGTATCAATTATCGGGGCGATACAAACAGCCGTCTTCTTTCTCCCCCCGCCTTCTACCCTCCACACACCTCCTTTCTTCCTTTCTCTGCGAGGATATTCATCCGGAGACACGTTGTCACAAGTTATTCATTCTGACAATTGTGTTTCCTTAGTGTTGTTGGGCAACGGAAACAAAGCTGAAACAAAATGTTTGGAGTGTAAAGGATAAAAGACGGTTGGAAACTCTATATTCTTCTCCTGTCTTCAGAAATCATTAGATTTTTCTCGGCGTTTTTTTTTTTTTTTTGGCTGAGTTTCTGTTTTGTGTTTCTCGTCTGTTTATCCCCCCCTTAAAATAAATAAATAAATCCCGCAATGGGAATCGAAATTATTATCTGTAAACATTTGAAGAAGCAAACAGGAATGATTTTCATAACTTTAGGTTCTACAAAGGCGCCGCCTAATCTCTTCTGTGCTTGGCACGGGGAAGAAAGCTCCCTCTTTCATCTGATTTGAGTCTCTCCAGCAGATGTAAAATGTTCCTTTTGGTGGAATGTCTCAAGCTTACCAGCCTGAGAGGCAGCACACCAAAGCGGAAAAAGAAATAATAATAATAATACAAAAATTAGAGCATAAAAGCCAAGCCGAGAAACTGCAAGGGGGAAAGAAAGCTCAGAGAACGGCTATTCCAGAAAGCCTTTTCACCCCCCCCCCCGCTGCTAAACTGAAATCTAAATTTAAATTAAATCTGAATGAATCCTTGTAAATTGGGCGCGAGTTCAAAAACCATCAGGGTGCTGCCTGCGTTCTTGTGACCGAGTGGCTGGGTTGACACAACGCAAACTGCATTGTACCGGACGTTCGCCCTGTGGTGAGGAGGTGAGGTGAAGTAGAGGCAGTCCTGGACTTACGACTACAATAAGCAAGGCAGTTGTTGAATGAGTTGCGTCCTCTTGTGTGAGCTGGTTTTTTTCTGCCATGGTGGCTAAGGTGAACCCCTTCTGTCGTTAAGCAAATCCTGAGGCTGTTAAGTGATCCCGATTTTACAATTGGTTTTTTTTTGGGGGGGGGGGGCACAGTTGAACAAATCCCTGCAACTCTTCAGTGAAGTTCAGTCATTAAGCGAATCCTGACGCTCTTCAGTGAGCAAACACACTCTGAAGGACCAGCTTGTCCTTCAAAGCAATCGGCTTGCTCTTTCTGCCGTTGAAATCGTCCTTCACCTCAACCCTTCTTCATTTCAGGGTCTTTTTCCTGAACGTCCCAGCGGAAACCATTCTCGAGCGCCTGTCCTACTCCATGGTGGATCCAGTCAGTGGGGAAAGGTTAGTGGCTTTGCCTGACATTGCTAGGGTGTGTGATGTGTGTAGGGCGCGTGGAAGAACAACAACGTGGTGATCCAAAGGGACGTGGCACAAAGGCAACACAGTCAGATAATCAGCAGGAGTCCCTTTATTATCTCCAACTTTGCCCCCAATGTCCAGGTTACCTTTGGGCTGGAGAAAAGCTCTCCCAGGAACAGCTTTTGGCTGCAGAGAATTTAGTCCAAAACATGGTCAACACAAACTGTAACTTAAAATCCAAACAAATCAAAGTGAAGTAATTAGTTTGGCAGGGCAGGACCAGAAATTTCAGACTTGAAAGCACGGTAAAACTCACACAGTTGGGAAGACACCAGGAACGCAGATAAGCCATGACGATACAAGATAAAGTCATGTTTGCTCCCAACAGTCTGCTGCACCACGCAGCTTGCCTTTTTTTATACATGTGTTCCCAGCTGCAGCTTATGAAGGGAATCAGGGCCCTTTCCTCCCCCATAAGCCATGCAACCCACGTTGCTCCCTTCTCTGTTCCTCCCTGCGTGCCCTAGGATGAAGAGGGGGTGGGCCTGGGTCTTCCTCTGAACTCTCTCCCCCTTGTTCTACCTCTCCCCTGCTCTGCCCAGCCGGACTTTGCCCTTCCCCAGTTTCTTCCACAGCCAATGGAGCCACACTCCCGCTCCCCATGAGCTATTCGGCCTCCCCCTCTTTGGGCTCAAATCGGCCGTCAACCAACCAGCAGATTTGTTTTAAAGCTGGTATAAAACACTTAACACGCGCAGGGACTTTGTGTCACGCCTTCCTTTTCCTGAGTTTTCTGCCCCTTTCCAGGTACCACACGTTGTACAAACCTGCCATTACCAAGGAAATCAATGACCGCCTGCTGATTAATCCAAAGGAGATGGAACAAACCATCAGAAGCAAAGTCGACTTGTATTTCAGGCTTTCTACCAGTCTGGAAGAATATTTCGAAGATGCGATATTTATCAATGGCGACCAAGACCCCCAGACGATATTCGAGTACATAGAGAGTTACATGATCAACCCACTGCCGGTTAAAGAGATCTGGGATCTGTAGTAGCTCAGCCTCCGTAGTAAGGAAGCTGAAACTTAACTCTCCATCTAAGGAGTAATTTGAAGTTTCTTAAATAAGGAAGTCCAAGCGAAGCCATAAACTGAGTTGGATGTTCTTAAAACTGGAGTCGTTTTATTTTAGGTTCGTTTCTGATTTCTCTTCCTGTGTAGAAAGACCAAGCAGCTCTTTTCACACAACCCTCATGTGATCCTGCTTAAAGCTGTTTGGAGGAGAAAGGGTGACACTTTTGAAGGACAGGATAGGTGTCCCCTTCCCCGAATTAAATTGTGATCTGTTTATCCCTTTGTTCTCCCCACCGTGAAGTTTTAAAAAAATATTTGAATTGTTAAGTGGGAAGAAAGTGGATGAAGCCAGCGTTTTTTCCTTCACTCCTGCTGTGTTTGCTGAAAAACTCATTTCTTTCCAATTTGGTCCCTTGGTTTGGTTTAAATTGTGCAGATCACATTATTAAAAGCTTGTTGAATCCCAGACAATGGCACTCCAGCTTTTTAAAATTTATTTTATTTTTTTCTCCTGGTGCCACCTTGGTGAGTCTTAAAAATGCCCTTTATGGAATATGCCAACCTTGGTTGGTTGCACCTGTTGCGCATGGCTTTCAGGTTGTCAAGTAGCACCGTTGTGTGTGGATATGTGGGTCCGTGCAACATTCAGCACACCCCCTGAATAGGATCAAGCCCTTGCCTCTCACCTCCACGCATTCTTCTGCATAATTTTGCCTCTCTCCTTCGCTGTTCTTGTAGGCGCTGAAATTTCCAACAAGGAGTCCCCACAGCTCTCTGGCTGTTTTAACAGGTGAGCTGCCTTGGCATCCATGTTGCCCAGGTAGTCCTTGACTTACCAATGTTCATTTAGTGACTGTTCAAAGTTACAATGGCGCAGAAAAAAAAGGACTTGGGATCATTTTTCACCCTTTAAGACAAGGGTCTTCAAACTTGACTGCCAACTCATAAAAATATTTCTATGATCTTTTTAGAGCTGCCAACAGAAAGGGAGGAGAGAAAAGGTGCGGCAGCTTGCAAACTGAAAGTGCATTCCATAAATGTTTTCAAAGATAGTAGCTAGGTGACTGAAGTTTCTGTCGTGCAAATATCTAACTGGAGAGCATGATTGGTGACTCTGGGCTATGGATGTGTCCCATTGGAGAATATGAATTATGATACACTCAGGGGTTGGGGGAAAACCAGGGTCAAAGGTGACGATGAATGATGTGCCTCAGAGTTGGCTATACCCAGGCAGTGCCAGCATGTTAACTCCCAATAAATCCTTTTGAAGTTTTGGAAGTTTGGCTGGAGACTCATGATTTAATTGGGGGTGACTGCCAGAATCCTGACATTGACAGCTTTAAGACTTGTGGACTTCCAACTCCCAGCATTCCTCCTCCAGTCATGTCAGCTGAGGAATTCTGGGAGTTGGAAGTCCACAAGTCTTAAAACTTGCCAAGTTTGAAGATCCCCGTTCTAAGATCATCTCCAAGGTCACGTGATCAAAATTTTGGACCGGTTCGTATTTATGATGGTGGCGGTATCCCTGGGGGGGGGCGTCATCCGATCCCCTTCCGAGAAGCAAAACTCAGCAACTGGGTTACCCACTTAACAACTGCAGCTTGACGACAGTGCCCTCAAAAAAAGTCGTAAAATGGGGCAAAGACTCCCTTCTCGCTTAGCCACGGGGATTTTGGGCTCCCTTGTGTGTGTCGTAAGTCGAGGACGCCCGTAATGGTATGCGAGGAAGAACCTTGGAAGAGAAGCTGCCTAGGAGACGGTCAGATAAGAGGAGGCGTAGCCCAGAGCTGCATCACAAGGGGAGGAAGAATCTCAGAAAGAAATCTCTCCAGTGCCTCAGGCTGTAAAAGAGACAGTGGGAGACGAATCCTTTCAAACCGGCAAGATTCTGCCGCAGAGTTAGAAGAAGAAATCTAGTAGAATTTGCCCGCGCGGTTGCACAGGCAAGGCTAACACATGGACTCAGGGATCCTCCGTCTTCCTTTAGGCCGCCTGAGCTTACTAAGCCCCTTCCTAGCCACGTCGCCAGCACACACACACCCCTCCCCAAACCAGGACCCCCGGGGGTTGAATCCTGAAGGGTTTGTAACCCTTCCCTTCTTTTCCCCACCGGCTGCTGACGTGAGTGCCTGCTTTCTGCCCCCACCGGTGGCAAAGATACACCGCTGTGCATAAATTGGACAGCTGGCTATTAATAATAAATAAAGGAACTACATCTTGCTAATATCGCCTGCATCAGAGTCCCGCTACTAAATATTGATAAGGAAAACGGCTTCGCCCACGCATTTAAATACTGTTTGCTGTGCACAAGGCAGGGTACAAGGCACGGCAACAGGGCCTTTAATTAGACAGGTACATCTGTTTAATTAATTTTCGCCATCGAGCCTCGCTCTTTCTTCCTTCCCTCCCTCTTTCTTTCATCTATATGCGCCCGGCAATATTAGTTCCGCTCAGCTGAGTGTGCAGAAAACCCCAGCCAAGCATCCCGGCCTCATTGAAATGCAGCCGGCGCGTCTTTCCGCCGAGTTTCGGGTCAGCGGATGACCCCCCCCCGAGGGCGTGCGCTCCGCCTGAAGTGTAGGCCGTTCTGGGTTAGGAGACCATGCTAATATTCGTATAGGACTCTCCCTCGGAAAGCGCTAAAACAATTGACATTCGTTTAATTACCGGGGAATGCTTACGAGGCCTTTGCATAGTTAAGAGAGAGAGACATACACACACACACCCGCCCACGATAGCAAAGGTTCAGCAGGCAAGAAAAAGGAATTAGGTTTTTATAATTGGACAACGACCTTTCCAAACCAATTTGGGACCCGCGACAGATTTGATTAGCATCTGATTGTGGCTAAGTAAGCACTGGCCAAGGAGACGAGGAGATAAACAGGATGGGGCGACCGTGACGAGTGCTTTGATTTGGCCTTTCCCCCCCCCCTCCCATTTCCTAATTTTTGAGAATTGGCACACACACACACACACACATAATCTGGGAGGGGGGAGCCCCAGTGAGCCCCCTCCACTCCCCCCAGGACCCTGCCAGCCGTCGTAAATACGAGGCCGTTGCCAAGCGCCTGAATTTTGATCACGTGACGGTCGTGTGAGGACTGATTGTTAATTTTTTTCCAGTGCTTTTGCAATTTCAGACGGTCGCTAAATGAACAGTTGTAAGTTGAGGACTGCCTGTAAAGTTGAAAGGGAAAAATTGCTTGAAAAAATGGGGGTGGGTGGGGGAGATGTAATTACCATTAAACAGCACCACAAGGATAAGGGGGGAAAAAACAAGAAAACCACTGAAAAGAGATTTTTATTCATTTTTCTTCCTTGGAAAAAGTTCAGAGTTCCTCAACGTTTGCTGTACGTGAGGCCACCATCTACACAACAAACACACAAGCCATCCCACCCTTTGTGGGGATCACACAACAAGAGAGTCAACATTTCGTTAACGCACACACACCAGCAAAGTTGTGTGTTGCTTTATTTACCAATGGCTTCATGTCACACAGTGGCTGCGATAGCAGACAATACACAAAATCACACACACACAAACATATACACACACACACCAACATTTAGAGTCAAGTATCATCCTGAAGGGAATAGAGGAACACCTGGATTTTTTCTTAACACTGCTTTGATTTGGGTGGGGTAGAAACACAACGGCAAGAGTTTAATTTGCTGCCTTTGCCTTTCAAAGCAAAAGCTTAACTAGAGTCAGGAACTACGTGAATGGTTTTTGGGGTGGTTTTTTTGGTTTAATAACCCCGAATTGCTCAGATCAAAAGTTTGCCACAGGTCTGAGCTACTGAGAATTGTCCAAACATGGAGCGGAGGGTGAGAAATGTATTCCCATGAACGCACAGCCATGATGAACTGTGATTAACATTTGAGAAGAAGGAGAGGCGATGGGAGAGGAAGGATTGACCGCAGGCGAGGAAATCAAAGTCTAAACATGGATACTTAAACTATTACAATCACAAGGCAATTGGCTCATTTAAAATAATGGTTCGGAGGGTATTTAGCTGCCTGGAAGTATTTTCCCCCCCACGAAAGAGGCCTCGCACAGGTTTTGCTCATCTTTCTTCCCTGACTACAGGCATGCAAGTTTTTTCTTCTTCTTCTTCTTCTCTGAAACCGTTCAAAAACTCATTCATTGTCTGTGATAATTTAACAGTCTCCAGTTCAGTAAGTGCCACCGTCTGTTAGGCGTTAACCAAGGGAAGGAACGGAGTCCACGTTGCCCTCCAGCCGTCGAGAAGTGACCTCCTCGACTGGACAAATTAGACAATTGCTCCAATCGTTAGCATCTTCTGGGTGGAACAAGGTGGTCCTGGATTCCAGAACTTAATGGTCAAAACCCCACCAAGTGGCGACCTTGAATCTGAATAGAGTCCAGAAGCATTTCAAACACAGAGGTGATGCGATTTAAGAAAAGACCTTGGCATTTCCCGAAAAGGGGAGAGCTTCTCTAGCTCAAATTTGCAGAGTTTTCCAGGTCGGAGCGAGCTTTTGCGCAGATCCGACGCTGGCTGGTGCTTTAACCACTAGGGACCACTTCTCCAAAGCTCGTCGTCTTGAGTCATTCTCTAGAAAACAGGCGAGTCACAGAAAATGCAGGGCCCCTGCAGTAATCTCTTGATCCATTCAGGATCTGGAAGCAAGAACAGATGTTGTTGAAGGACAAAACAAGGGAAAAGAGGAAAAGACACTTGAGATGCACCAGGTGTTAAAAGAGCAAACCGTCCTTAAGGTTTCAGCGATTATGTGCTTATACAGCAAAGAGGAAGTTAAGAATAACGATCTTTGGAAAGCTATCTTCAAAATATATTGGACCAAAAAAAAAAAAACGGGGTGCAATTTGATCTCCTTCTGCCATTTTAGAGGTGAGGTGGGATGAAGGGAGCCATAAGGTCTTATTCGCAGGCACACGCTTTCCACCATTAGGTTTCAAGCAGGTTTTGAAATAAAAGAATGAGGAACATAGCCAAGACTCAAGAAAGATGTGAAACAATGGAATCTGTGATTATTTGGGCTGGGCAGAGGTAAGACTCGGATCCCAACAGAGGTTGGAATTCTTCATACCCCTCGAAGGAAATAAAAAGTTGGTAAGCCCCCTGCCCGGGGATAGAAAATTCCCAGATTTTGCAGACTTTTTAAGCCGTAAGAAAACTCACCTTCTGAAGTGGAATGGCGAGCGATGCTATCCCGGAGCAAACATCTCCTGTAAACTAAACTCTGGCAGGCCCGGTAGGTTAAAAAGCACCTGAAGTGAGAACATTATTTGGGGGGGGGGGAGAGGAGAAAAGGGGCAATGATAACAGGCTCAATTCACAACAGAGCTTAAACGTGGTCACCTTTTTCTAACCTGCACCAATACATTGAATTGGACACTAATCAAACGAACGGGGTTTGCGCCGGTAGCTGAGCAATGGGAAAACCATTAAGTTGGGGGAGAACAAGAAAAAAGAAAAATGTCCCAGGGAACGTTTAACAAACCTGAGCCAAATGTGTCCATTGGAGCAAACTGCCTGTTTGGGGTCCGTGAAGGGCAGGATCTCTTTACATAAACTGCAGCGTTCGGGGAAAGTTTGCTTGTTCATTTTCTTTAAAATGTGCCCAATCAGCACCTGGGGAAACATTGCAACAGGGCTTATAAGGAGAGACAGACGCAGGAGGAGAGGTTTATGAAGAGCTGAAGATGGAACAATCCGCCCGTTCGCCGTCCCCCCCAAAAAATCTGCTTAAAATGGAATTTAAGGTGATCACAATAGCCCTGACTTATGTACCGCTTCACAGGGCTTTTACAGCCCTCTCTAAGTGGGTTACAGTCAGCCTCTTGCCCCCAACAATCTGGGTTCTCGTTTTACCCACCTCAGAAGGACGGAAGGCTGAGTCAACCTTGAGCCTGGTGGGATTTGAACTGCCAAATTGCAGGCAGCTGGCAGTCAGCAGAAGGAGCCTGCAGTACCGCACTCTGACCACTGCACCACCGTGACTCTTACTGATAAGAAGTGGGGGGAAGGGAGGTCCCACAGGTGATGGTAGACCACAACTGAGCCCAAAATTCCCACTCCTAAGCAAGGCAGTTAAGCGAGTTTTGCCTCACTTTACGACCTCACAGTGCATGGAAACCCGGCCGGCTCCTGGGACCCCCCCCCCCAACGGTTCTGAGGTCAAGGTGCCCCTCTCCCCCCCTCACCCGCGCTGTCCTGTCCTCGTAGCTTTTGTCGGAAGTCAGGAAATCACAGACGCCCCTGGTGGGGATGCTGGTGTTCTCCGTAATCCACGTGTGGAGGTAGACCTCGCCCAACACCCGCTTCATATGTTCCCGCGTCAGGTGCATTTCGACCGCTTCCATCTGGGCCTGGATCTCCAGCATCTTCTCTTCCGTCAGCTGCTCAGTCGAGGGGGCCAGCTGGGACTCCTGGCCTTTCTGGGCCTCACTCGGACCCTGCCTGCCCTGTTCTGAAGGCGGCTTCTCGCTGCCCGCTGCCTCACAGGAGTCCACGATCAAGACCTTGGTGTCCTCGTGGCTGGGCCTCCACAGGGCCTCCGAAGGAGGGGTCTGCAGCGACTGGGACAAAACCCGCAGGAGGAAGAGCTTAAAGCGCCAGAAGTACGTGGACCCCGAGCGCTCGATCTTCTGATCCAGGGCTTCTTGCAGGAAGCGCGGGATCTGCTTCTCTTTCAAGACCTTCCAGCGCACCAGATCGGTGAGGTCGACTTGCCGGTAAAGGTTCTGGACGGGCGATTCCAGCAACTGGGCCGCGGCTTCCTCGCACGTCTTCAGGGTGACGAACTGAACCTGGTAGGTCTTGGTGGTGGGGTGGAGCCCGTTGGCCATGCCCTTGGTGGTGATGGCGGCCAGGTAAGCGCCGCAGGGGCTGACGGCGATGCCGTGGCTGCGGATGGAGCCCAGCACATCCGACAACTTGATCAGCTGGTGCTCGAACTTGAGGGCGAGGTTGGTGAAGATGGGGACCAGCTGCCGGACCTTCCCGTCTGCGGAGCAGGTGTAGACGGTGCCGTTCTGCTTGTCGGCAGTCATGGAGACGATAGGCAATGAGTGGAGCCCGGTCACGTGGGAGTTGTGGACATTTAAGCCCGCTTTGGATATCAAGAGGAGACACCAAAAGAGGTAACAGCCTCTCGCCGCCACCACCAAACTGCAGCTGCATTTCTGGTAGGGGTGGTAGAGAGGGATGCTCTTGATGTTCTGCACAGGCAAGTGGTCCACTTCCTGCCACAAAACCACCGGCTGTCTCAAGGTGAAGTAACCTTTGACAGCTTTGAGGTTGACCGGGAGGATCTTCACCGGCCCGAAAGCGCTGCCCACGATCAGCCCGCTCATTTTCCGGTTGCTGTGCTCGTATTCCCACCAGGCCAAGACGCTGGGGGAGGAGATGCCCGACTCGATGGTGTTACAAGACGAGATGGATTCCTTGCCGAGGAACGGGAGTTGGCACTGCCACACAGCGATGTTCCCGTTTTCAAAGACCACGGCCAAGAGGACGCTGCTCACCTCCCGGCACTCGTTGTTGTGCTTCACCTGTTGGATAGTGCAAATGCCGGACCATTCCATGCGGACCGGCGTCTGCATGCTGTGCCTCCTCTGGAATTCGGCAAAGTTCCCCAGGTCTTCCTGAAAAGGCTCCTGTGTCTTAGAAAGCCTGTAGCTGTTTTCGTACAGGCACTCTCCGTAGAGTTCGGTCAAGTCAACTAACTGCACCCACTGAAGTCTGTTCAGGTTAGCGTGGATGGTCAGTCGATTGTCCATGGTCAACGCAGCCAAGAGACACCGGCCGTTGGCGTCGCAACCCAACGGAGACCAGCTGCAGTATCGGAAGCCTCGCATCGAGGACAGAGATTTCCCTTCCGGATTGAAGACTCTGTCTAAGGTGAATGTCTGGCTGACGACCGGATCGTTGGAATTCGCAAACTTGTGTTTGCATTCGGCGACTTCCTTTTTGGAACCAACCTGTGGGGGGAGAGGGAAAAGGTTTTACAATGCAATTCAAAATGATAAAAAATGATAAAAAGGTTTTTTTTCCCCACCCAGGATGTGCCTTGCTAAGTATTGGTCGCAGTACATGAGGAATGAAGCACTACAGAGGGAAAAAAAAATCTAAGTACTGATTTACTGATAACATGTGGTGCACAGGCTCAACCCCAGTCTGAACTGTATGCAGACCGAGATCAAACCAAGTCCAAAACCGACAAGGGAATCCCTGGAAGACTGGCAATCAGCCATAAGCACACCACACAAAAGATACAATCGAAAAGACCGAAAGGAAACAAAAAGACCAAAACACTTCCTCACCAGCAATCAACACTCAGATGGACAAGAGATGAACACCCAGATTAACAGTAGGCCTGCAAATCAAGAAGCAAACAATACCCCTAATCGACAGCCCAAACCACGAACCACCAGGACTGCCTCCACCAACACTGACAAGGCAAGCTGCTAGAATATAAAATGACACACACACACACACACCCATCCCTTCTAGCACTGATGGTGTTCCTTAGTTGGCTGATGAAACGTCTGCAAGAAAACCACCAAGCTCAAAGATCAACTCATTTCAACCCCGAGCAACAAATGTTATTTTATCGATACCCAGAGTAAGTGTAGCCCCCATCTTCATTCAGGTGAGGGTTTTCCTCATTCCTAGACAGCCAAAGAACGTAATCACGGTAGTCCAAAAGAGGCGTCAATCCTTCATCCTTGGATTTGGTGCCCTGGCTGCTCTTTCCACAGCTACGGGGCCTTCGACTCCAGCTCCCATTAATCCCCTCCACTGGGTAGGGAGCCAAGGAAGCGTTCAAGAGGAGGGGGAAAGAAAGAGGAAAGAAAAAGGAAGATAGGAGAAGGAAAAGGAGAGGAGGAGGAAGAGAAGGAAAGGGAAGGAGAGGAGGAAGAAAGGAAGAAAGAAAAAGGAAGAGGAGGAAAGCAGGGAAGAAGAGGAAGAGAAGGAGGAGAGGAGGAAGAAAGGAGGAAGAAAAGAGAGGAGGAAGAGAAACGAGGAAAAGGAAAGGAAGGAAGAAGACAGGACGAGGAAGAGGAGGAAAGAAAAAGGAAGACAGGAGGAAGAGAAGGAGAGGAGGAGAAGAGAAGGAAAGCAGGGAAGAAGAAAAGGAGGAAGAGGAAGAGGAGGAAAGAAAAAGGAAGACAGGAGGAAGAGAAGGAAAGCAGGGAAGAAGAAAAGGAGGAAGAGGAGGAAAGAAAAGGAGGAAAAGGAGAGGAAGGAAGGAGAGGAGGAGAAGCCCACCTAGGCCTCCCCTCGCCCCCCCCGTCCTCCACCCAGTGGCGGGGAATTCCCCAGGCCCACCCCGAGATGACAGGCGGCGTTGGGGGGCGGCACGGCCGTGCGATGGATGACGAGGTCGCTGCCGCCGCCGCCGCCGCCGCGGATGTCGCTCAGCTGCTCGAGGACGGCCACGCTGCGGGCGGTGCTGACCGACACGCGGTGGTCCTCGGACCAGGCCAGGGGCTCCGAGCCGCTCACGCTGTGCTGCAGCCGCACCGCCGGGTCGCGCCGCACCGCCGTCACCCGGAACCCGGCGCGGCTGCTGGGGCCTGCCCTGCCCTCCGCCGCCGCCTCGTCCTCTTTCCCCAGCTCTTCGGCCCCGTCGGGCGGCGACGACGGCGAGGGGGACGCGGCCGTCCCGTCCGACGGGCTCTGCTCCGCCGCCGCCATCTTGCCGCCGGCCAACAGAGCGCATGCGTGACGCGCGACGCCGCGAGAAAGGACCCTCCCCCGGGACGGGTGGGAGGGCGAGAATGTCCCGAAGCGTGACTATACCATTGCCTGCGTGGAAAGGAACCCTTTCCTGTGCTTAATAGAACAGAGTTGGAAGGGACCTTGGAGGTCTTCTAGTCCAACTCCCTGCCCAAGCAGGAGACCCTGTACCATCCCAGCGGCTGTCCAGTCTCACCTTTAAAAAAAAAAATTCCTCCCACCCCGTCAGATTGAGAGCTCACCTCTAATTTTCAACCCCCCCCCAGCAGGTTCCTGTTGGAGAAAACACCGCTGATATGGCTGGGAGAGAAGAATAAAAAGGAGCAGCATCCGAGATGAAGGGGCGAGGGGGGAAGATGGGACTCCTTTCCCTTTCCAGCTCATTCAAAGTGGGTTGGTTTGGATTATTATTATTAATTTTTTTAGCAAGGCCATCCACTAGCCACCTATACAGGGAGTCCTTTCCCGGGCAAGGTTCCCACGTGGGTGGCAGGAATGGACAGGCTGCATCTTTGCAATTATCCTCCTTATTAATTTTTTACAAATATTTTTTCAAGTTGCATTCCTGGCTCTGCTGCGGCCTCTCTCCCGCTAGAGGAGCCCTTTGCAAATCTTGGAAGCCGAACCTCCCCGTGCAGGAATCGTCTACCGGAGCTGGGTTCGCCTAGCCATGGCTTCAGACGAAGGGTTGCTTATTAATGTCAGCACGTTGCCTCTGCTTAGGTGCCACCGCCGCCGCCCCCCTGCAGGACGGAGAGCCCCCAACCCACGATGGGGCCGCGGGAAAAAGGTAGGCTTGTTGCAACTGGGGAAATGGGGGGTGGGTTGGGGGGGGGGAGAGAGAGACGGATGTTGGTTTGTACAGAAGGGATGCGTTGCAACGGGACACCTGGACAGCCATTTGTCTGAAATGATATATAGGGTCTCCTGCTTGAGCAGTGGGTTGGACTAGAAGACCATTAACAAGTGGAATTATTAATTATTATTAATTAAAAAGTGGAAGGGCTTCCCTCCAGAGGTGGTGGCTGCTCCATCCCTGGAGGCTTTTAAGAAGAGACTGGACAGCCATTTGTCTGAAATGATACATAGGGTCTCCTGCTTGAGCAAGGGGTTGGACTAGAAGACCTCCGAGGTTCCTTCCTGCGCTGAATCTTTTGGCTTCCCCAGGTACCTTCCCCAGGTACCTTCCCCAGGTGGGTTGCAACACCCATCGTTCCCGGCTCCTTTTTGGCAACTGAAAACGGTGCCCGTGGGTTGTCACGTTGGATTTCCTTGCTGGAGAATGTTTGGAGCTGGCATGCCTGTTGGATTCGATGGCTTGCTTCATTCAAAACGGTGTTCAGGGAAGATAGAATCCTAGGGTTGGTTGGAAGGGACTTTGGAAGTCTTGTAGTCCAACCCTCTGCTCAGGGTAGGAGACCTTATACCATCCTGATCAAATGATGGTCTAGTCTTTTGTTGGAAACCTTGACTGATAGAGCCCCACAACTTCTGAAGTTAAGCTGTCCAACTGATTGATTGTTCTAACTGTCAGGAAATTCCTCCTTAGTTCTAGGTTGCTTCTCTCCTTGGTTAGTTTCCATCCGTTGCTTCTTGTCCTGCACTCGGGTGCTTTGGGGGAATACGTTGACCCCACTCTTCGTTATAGTACCCTCAAGTACTGGAAAACATGAGCTATCACATCCTCCTCACCCCCAATCCTTCTCTTTGATAGGCTAGACATACATACCTTGTTCCCTCAACAGTCGATTTAACCTCCAGACCCATGATTTCCCCAGTCAATAGTTAGCATACAAAACCATCTTTCTGTGAATGTATTTCCTTCATCCCTTTCTTTTCTGCTCTCAGGCCATGAAAAGAACATTAGAAAGCACACAAGAAGTCACTCCTGTAAAAAAGAAGTGTGCTTCTCCAGTGGCCCAGACCAAAAAGCTATGGAAAATACCCCCAAATCACAATAAAGGAACTGGGCCGCCAGGATCACCTCCGGAAAAGCTTTCGCCTGAAGCCAGAGAAGACGACTTCAGCAAGAGACCCTTTGTAAAGACTTCCAGCCTCTTTAAAAACAATCCAGAAATCCCCGACTTACAGAGGTACTTCTCTTCACTAAGTCAAAGGAAAAGATGAATTGTAAACTATATTATCTGCTGCTGTGTTAATGTAACTGCCATTTTGGATTTTGCTTTTGAAACTGTAATGGTGGTTGTATCATGATGTGAAGTTCTGGGTTTAATCTTTGACAAAACAATTTTGTTTTATGCCAACTTTTGATTGGTTCCTTGGTTGATTTCCTCCTTATCTAGAACTGCCGTGAAACAAGTTCAAGAGGAGATTTTCACCTCAGATTCCTTTGATCAGCTGGGTCTCCATCCTCACTTGGTAAAGTTCTTTCCTTTTGGACAGGTGTACAGCAATGTTTCAATGAATCTTTCCTTTTATTCGGGCTGTTTTCAGGAAGAATTTTTTTGGTCATGGAATTATACCATGTGTGTTATGCATGGGTATTGGTAGATGTATATACTTTTCAGAACAGGCAACAGAATTTCATTTTTAATGTGTACCAGTGTTTCCACAGTAAAAAATGACAATCAAGGTTATCTTACCTGGTTTTCTATACCAGTGAAGATGTCAAAATGATACGCATTGTATTATTGTGCGAATGGCACAGCTAAGTAGTTGCATAGAGATGTCAGAGATATATTTATATGACAATACACAGTATATCATCTTTTGGCCCTGTGTGGACACCGATCTTTGCTTTATAAGTTAATGTGGGATGGGAACTCAAACACAATAGCTTTTTAAATAAGCAATGTTTAAACAAACCAACGTTAAGTACAATCAAGTATTATGCTAAACTAATCTTTGAGCCTAATGTAACTGTGGTCATAATACAACTCCAGCCCTATCCTTTACATTTATTTATTTTTTTCTATTATCAGACTTCAACAATAATCTCTTCCTTGAAACTATCAAGCATGACCAGGTAGAAGGATTTATGTTTGTTTGGGGCATATGAATGCATGAAATATATTCAAACAAATACCTGTATACATACAGACACATACCAGACTAAGTGAAAGTCATTTTAGGTGTGTGTATTTATATACATACATGCACACAGTGGAATGATGCAAAGCCTGTCTCTTTCCCTCTACCTTTGTCTCTCTCTCTCTCTTTCTCCTATATTTGTGTACGTACATATATACATGCTGTATACAGTATATATTCTCAGAAGTAAAGCTATTTTATTCTTGAGTGTTTTTGTGTATACATGTGCACCCAAGGATCAAATAAAGCTATCATGTCTACAGAAAGACATTCATGCAAAGCAGAATCAATCGAAGCCCCTTCAGTTACTAAATTATGTAGTGCATATCAGTGTTGGTTCGTGTATCTCCACAAAAGCTCAGAAAACAACCCAGCATGCCAGATAAAAAGCATCACCAGCTATGAGTAACGGTGAAAAATGCCACGTGGAAATGTTACAGGCTCCAAGGGCAGATTGAACACAGCTTATTGGTGGAACAGTTGCCTTGTTTGCCTTCTGACTTACTTTTGTTGTTGTTGTTGTTGGTCTCATTTTGTCTCTCAACCCGCCCAGTGTTCAGAAGGAGACCATTCCCACATTGCTACAAGGGAAGGACGCTCTGATCAGATCACAGACGGGCTCAGGTGAGAATTTAGCTGCTCCTGTTTGGGAGTGGCTAACACTGGATGGAGATGGTGCTTCCTGGGGGTTTGAGGGACCCTCTTGTGCTTAAGGGGGTCTCCACAGATAAATGGGCCTGGGCCTGTTTGGGGGTTTCTTAAGAGATGGTAGGCAGGCATTAAAGATCTGCAAAATTCTGCTGACAAATTATTTTTGTCAGAATTATTGTTTTTTTCCTAACCTACCTACCTACCTTCCTTCCTTCCTCATTACTCTCTTCAAGGAAAGACACTTGCTTATAGTATCCCCCTGATACAATCTTTGCAAAAACTGGAGCCCAAAATCAAGGTAAGTACAGACTTCAATTGCAGAAAAGCTACTTTCCCTAAGAAAGAGGCCTAGATATATGTCTATATATTTTATGTTCTTGATTGTACATATTCTGTAGTGTCCTTGGTGCTCTCTGAACTCTGTTGTTTTCTTGCAGATGTTTCATTACCCAGCTAGGTAACATCATCATGCTAGAAGGGAGTGAGGTTTGCAGGGAAGAGGAACGTGGGGTCCTTGGTGCTCTCTGCGATTGGCAGTTTTCTTGCAGACATTCTATTACTCAACTAGGTTATATCAATCTTGTTGGGCAATGAAACATCTGCCTGAAAACAACTAAGCACAGAGCTACTGTATATAAACAGGGAGCAAGCCAGGCTCAGTAGCACAGTGAAGATGTTATCTAGTTGGGGTCGCAAAATGTCTGCAAGAAAACATCCAAACTCTGTGCTACTGTACATAATAAACAGGAAGCAAGTCACACCCACTAGCACTGATGATGTTGCCTGGTTTGGTAATGAAATGTCTTCAAGAAACCAAGCTCAGGTCTACTGTGTATAAACAGGGAGAAAATCACACTCACTAGCCCTGATGATATTCCCTAGTTGGGTCATGAAATGTCTGCATGAAAACCACCAAGCTCAGAGCACCAAGGACCCCACAGGTCAACCCTGAGCTAGAAATGTTCTATCAGTCGTTCCTGTCCCGTTTTGCCCTTCCGTCTCACCTGTATCTCACTGTTGCTTCCTCTAGCGTAGTGATGGACCCTATGCCCTCATCCTGGTTCCAACCAGAGAGGTGAGTTTATTTACCCACTTTCCTAGGTTAATTTTGATCTTGATTTGCTGATTTCACATCCAGCCATGCCTGGATACCTTTGAATATCTCAGAGGTTTTTTTTAAAAAAAAAAAAACATGGAATCACTGCTTAAAGTCAACCTGATTGGTAGTTCGGCTGGAATCGATCACTTCTCCTCCCTTGCAACTGGGGATCATTCCCATCATCCCCAGCCAGCAAGCCCACAGGGGACGATGGGTGCTAACCCAAGACCTCGAATGCCAGAATTGGGGAAGGTTGATAACAACCTCTCCAGAGCAAACCCTGTATGTTTTTAACAACAGACATCTAGAGTTGTGGCAAAAACTCATATTTGGGGGATTGAATAGTTAAAGGCAGTGTAATGTTGCGAATGCTGCAAATAATTCCTATTTTTTTCTTCTTATTTATAGCTCGTTCTACAGAGTTTTGAAACCCTCCAGAAGCTCTTAAAGGTAAGCATGGATTGAAAAGAGATGGAAGCCATAATTGATGTCAGTTTATTGTCTCGGGCTTCTCTCTGTCGATCCCTGTGGAAAAAAGGGATTTTATTTCAGAGATGGGTCTTGAGGTGGAGGAGAGAATTTGTATCTAAACCAAAAAACACCTGTTTAGGTAAACGGGGATCATTTTTGGGAGGTAATGTTTGCGGGGCCTTCGTCTTCCTCTCTGTTGGAGGCCTTAGGTGCATTTATGAGGCAAGGCGCCATTTTGAGCCTGGTTGGAATGTGGAGACTGCCTGGCCTCACAAAATGGGGGCTCCGTTGGATGTGGCCCCCAGCCAGATGTTTCTGCCAGAGAAAACGAAAACAAAACAACAATGGATACTAAATAGGCTTAATTTCTCCTTTAAAGCTTTAAAGTTTCACTGTCTCAGTTTCCTGCACTTTTTAGCCATTTACCTGGATTGTGCCGGGAGTCTTGATGGGGGGTGAAAAGAAGAAATCCGAAAAGGCCAGGTAAGGGCTGCGGGAAGCAACTCAAGCAGAAGGGGCCTTCCCTAGTTTTCTGGAAAGTAAAACCTCCTTTCTCTCTCTTCCTTCCTTTCCTTCCTTCCTTCCTTCCTTCCCTCCCTTCTTCTCATTCCTTCTCTCTCTCTCTCTCTCCCTTCCTTCCCTCCTTCCACTTTTATCTTCTTCGTTCCTTCCCTTTTAATCTCCTTCCTTCTTTCCTTCCTTCCTTTTATCTTCTTGTTTTCCTTCCCTGTTAATCTCCTTCCTTCTCATTCTTGTTGCCTTCCTCCATGCATCCATCCATCTCATTCATCATTCCCTCCCTCCCTTTCTTCCTCTTTTATCTTCTTCTTTCGTTCCTTCCCTTTTAATCTTCCTTCCTTCCTCCTCCTTTCTTTCCTCCCTTCTCTTTCCTATTGCCTTCCCTCCATTCATCCATGCACCCATCCCATTCCTATCTTCCTTCCTATCTCCTTCCTTCCATCCATCTCCTTCCCTCCCTCCCTCCCTCTCCTTTTATCTTCTTTCATTTCTTCCCCTTTTAATCTATCTCCTTCCTTCCTTTCTTCAGATTACGCAAAGGAATAAATATCCTCGTGGCAACTCCCGGACGGCTAGTGGATCACATCAAATCTACCCAGTGCATTCACTTCCGCTGTATCCGGTGGCTGATTCTGGATGAGGCTGACAGGTAGGAACATCCTGGATATTTGTGTGAGGACGGTCACTTTTTTTACCGCCGTCGTAAATTTGGATGGTCACTAAAATGAACAGTTGTAAGTCAAGGACTACCTGAAGTTGGTGAGTGCTTGCAGGTGGGTATACATGTGTTGCTATGCCTGTCCTTCTGTCTATATCAAGAAAAAAGAAATAAGAGAGAGATAAAGCAAATCTACTAAGCTTTAGAGGACTAAACGTTGAAAGTCGAAAAAATTTTGTTTCAAGATTTTAATCTTTTTAATTGAAAGGAAAATTAAGTAAAAGACAACATGGGCAAATCAAGCCTGTATAAATCTTTTTTTTTTTTCCTTCCAAAATGGCTCATTGTACTCAATAAACACAGTGAGGCCTAAGGTTCCCATTTCTGTCCTTTTTTTCCTCCCAGAATATTGGATCTCGGCTTTGAAAAGGCCGTGGCTGCCATACTGAATGCCGTCAACGCAGCCAGCCCAAAACGGCAAAACGTTCTTTTGTCAGCCACACTTTCTGAAGGTGAGTGTTATCCTAACAGAATAACTAGAGTTGGGAGGGACCTTGGAGGTCTTCTAATCCAACCCTCTGCTCAGCCAGGAAACCCTGTATACCGTTTCAGAGAAATGCTTGCCCAATCTCTTCTTAAAAGCTTCCAGTGTTGGAAGTCATGGCTGACTTTTTATTGTTGTCGTTTTGTTGGGTTAGGTGGGGTTGTTGGAGGTTTTATTGCTTTTGATGCTATAAGCTGCCCAGAGTCATCTAAAGCGAGATGGGTGGCAAATAAATTTAATGAATAAAATAAAAGAATTGATTGGACCTCCAATGCAGGTTGTTCCTGGGAGAGTTTTTCTCCAGCCAGAAGGTAACCTGGACATTGGGGGCAAAGTTAGAGATAATTAAGGGGCTCTTTCTCCTTGGTTATCTGACTGCGTTGCCTTTGTGCCACGTCCCTTTGGGTCATCACAGAAAAGGCATTGATTTTCAACTCCCTTTGGTGCAGTGGAATAAGATAACAGCATCAAACCTCAACTTCTGACTTTTACATAATATTATAAAGTAGCCTTTTCTATAATAACGAACCTATTCATCGGCAAAAACCAAAATCAAAGTTTCATTCCCCCCCCACCTCAAACACAAAGTCCAGAAGCGGTTTCCGATTAAACACAAAAGTAATGTTTCCCCCCCCCTTCGATGGAAGCAATCCATTTTGCCATCTCTGCTTGTTATATATTTCTTCTTTCTCCCCCGCCGATGGGCCACAGGAGTATCCCGGTTAGCCCATATCAGCTTGCAAGACCCCGCCTGCGTTACGGTGGCCTCAGAACCCCCGGGGGGTTCAAAGACACCGCGGGAAAACGACTCTCTCTGGGAAGATGTGGGCATTCTTCCCGCCAAGGAGGAACAGCAGAGCAGTTTCGCTGTGCCCGAAAAACTCCGCCAAAACGTGGTCATGGTTCCCAGCAAGCTAAGGCTGGTGACGTTGGCGGCTTTCATTTTTGGAAAGTTCAAGGTAAGAGATTTGAGAAGGAGCGATACGATCAGAAAACTTGGATTTTTGTACTCTCTGACTTGGATAGAAATGTTTTATCTGTTTTCTTTGTTTGGTGAATTTGGGTATAAGCTCAGCTCCCGAAGGCAAAACATGTTTTCAGTCCAAAATGTCCAGGCAACATTCGGAAGCAGGCCGACAGGCTCCCAATTCGCTGAACTAGTGGTTCTCAAGTTACAACCATATATTTACTGCCTGTCCAAAGTTACAACGGTACAGAAGGAAAGGACTTATGACAGGTCCTTGCCCTTACAACTATCGTCTGTGGAGATCCTCCAAGTCATGGCTGTGGCAAAGGTGCTTTTCCCAAAAGACAATGGGACTTTCTTGGGGGGGGTGTTGTCTGAAAAGGTTTCGCTTCTCACCCAAGAGGCTTCTTCAGTTCTAACTGAAGAAGTTCCTAGTGCTAGAACTGAAGAAGCTTCTTGGATGAGAAGTGAAACCTTTTCGGACAAAAATAACCCCAAGGCAGTCCAGTTGTGTTTTGGAAAGAGCACCTTTTGGACTTAGGGTCACTGTAGCATCCCCATGGCCCCATGATCAAAATTTGCTGCTTAGCAACTGGCGTGTTTGACATGCAACGTCCCACGGTCATGGGATCACCTTTGGCAACCTTCCCATTCAGCTTCTGTCAAGCGAAGTGAAGGGCAGAAGCTGGATTCTCTAAATGACCGTTACGACTGTTACAGACCAATTAAACTACCTTTGCGTCAGAATCTTCTCAACTAACAGCCCTGGCTTAGGGTTAGATAAGGCTCAGCTGAATTCAAGGCAGATGGGATTTCGTTTGCTTGCAGCGACAGAGAGATTCTAGGCTGGTGCCTCTTTTGATTCCGCCCCCCCCCCACAAGTTCTGCCACCACCCCTTCGCTTACACACTAACCTGCCACGTCGTCCGTATCTCTCTTCAGTTAGAAAAACGCCACAAGATGATTGTTTTCTTCTCAAGTCGCGAGCAAGTGGAGTTTCACTACGTCCTCTTCCAAAAAGTGTTGTGCGCGGAGTCTGGGGAGGAAGGATCGGGGTTAGCGCCAGCACCTCTTTCTCGAACTTTGACCTTTGCACGTTTGCATGGTGACATGAAACAAGAGGTGAGTTCAGATCTTTCCTATAAACTGCCTCCCCCCCCCCCCGTTTTTTTTTAACTTCTAGCGAGAAAACTTTTCCACAATTCGTACATAGCAACGTTGAAATCTGTGCATTGAGGGGTTTCTCCCCCTTCTTTGGAAGCTTCCAAAAGCTAAAAAAAAAAAATACAGGCAGTCCTCGGCATACAGCGGTTCATTTAGCGACCATTAGAAGTTAGAACAGCCCTGAAAAAGGTGATTTATGAACATTTTTCACGCGATGGTTGCAGCGTCCACCTGATCAAAATCAGAACGATTGGCAACAGGCTCATATTCGTGTGATCAATTTTTGCAACCTAAGCAAACTCATAACGGAAAACCCAGATTCATTTAACAACCTTTGGTCAAGAAAGGTTGTAAGACGAGGCAAAACTCACTCGACAACTGTCTTGCGTAGCAACAAAAAATCTGGGGCTCCGTTGCAGTCGTAAGTCAAGGACTACCTCTAGTTAAGATGACCTTCAATCTTGGCCAGCTCTCCTCCTCTTTCTCACTCCCTTTTTGAAATCCCCAACTTTGGGCAAACTACAGAATGGCTTCAAAAGGTGGTGGCTGTTTGCTGTTTGCAAAGAATTTCTGGTTTTTCATAATCTTCCAAGAAATAATAGCCAGACAGAGGACGTCAGCTCTGCCAAACACCCTTAAAAAAAATGTAAACAATTCAAGGTTTAATTCGTTCGTTCGTGCGCATGCTTCCATACTGCAACATAAGCCCAAAATACATCTTTGGCTCCCGAAATTTGCAATCTAAACAAGTAAAAATCAGTTAAAAACCAGCAGTCAAAAAAGGGCTTGCGTTTTTTTTGCACAATATTTTCTTCTTTCGGTTAGAAAAATCAGCTGAAAATTAAAAGGGTTGGTGACGTCTTTTTTTTTTTAATCTTCTTAAGGATTTAGTTCGACTTGCCCGATCTGGCGAGACTTTTTTTGTGTTTTCTCCTTTTCTCGCAGGAGAGATCGTCCGTGTTCCAGGCTTTCCTGCAATCGAGCACTGGGGTGTTGCTGTGTACGGTGAGCTGCCAAATCATAATGTATTCAGTGCTTAACGGAACGTATCTCTGTTTGCCAGGGAAAGATCGCAAATTAATTCAGACGATGACATAGCTGAACGTAAGGAGAAGGGAAGCAGGATCACGATTAACCTGGGTTACGATGGAGGATTTCTAAGCAGAACCAAGCAATCTGTTTTAATTGTCTGTCTTTCTGTCTGTCTGTCTATCATCCATTCATCCATCCATAGATCCATATCTTCTAGTACTCTCTCTGTCTCTCTATCCATCCCTTCGTCCATCTATCCGTCCATCTATCCATGTCTTCCAGCACACTCTCCATCCATCCATCCATCCATCCATCCATTCATCTACCTATGTGTTTATCTGCCTGCCTGCCTGTCTACCTTCCTCTCTATCTGCCTGTCTTCCTGTCTTCCTGCCTGCTCCTCCGTCTCCTTGCCTGCCTTCCTCTCTATTTATCTACTTATTTATCTACCTACATACCTACCTCTCTCTCTGCCTGCCTGCCTGCCTGTCTATTTACCTACCTATCTCTATATCTACCTACCTAGCTCTATATCTTATTTACCTACCTATCTCTCTACCTACCTACCTACCTACCTCATTTACCTATCTACCAACCTCTCTATTTACCTACCTACTTATCTACCTACCTACCTCTCTACCTCATTTACCTACCTACCTACCTCTCTATTTACCTACCTACGTACCTGCCTACCTGCCTGCCCGCCTTATCATCCAACAAGTTCACCTTCGGCTTTCCTAAGGAGCTGCGGCTGCTGCTTCTGCCCTTCAGTGCTGGAAGCGCCTGTCCCTTCCCTCTGCCCGTTGACTCCATCACGCTAACGCGTCTTGCCAGTTTTCTGGCGGGCACAGGCGGCCGTTCTGCCCCCCCTCCTTTCCTGACAGCTTGGGAGGGGAGGGGCTGCCGCCTTCCCCTTCCCTTCCGCCGATGACGCAGCCCCAATCTGTCGCCTGACTGCTGGTGGGGGCGTCTTCCCCGCTGACGGCTTTCCATGCTCGGCCTTAACGACTCTTGGCAGGTGGGGGGGGAGAGAGACATGGGGGGGCCCTCCCATGTCCGGTTTGGACCCCTCTCTCCCCCCCTCCCCCCCCATTTTGCTAAGGTGCACTTTGGGGAAGAGGAATGAATCATCTGAATCCGACTGACAAGCTGGCATCGGAACGAAGGCTCTTCCATCTGGACCTCGAAGCTTCACGTCGGCAGCCAGTTGTCACGGCTGCGTTGCCCAGGCTGGCTTGTCAGTGTCTTCTTTTTGCCCCCAAGATTTTGGTGGCAGGCCTAGCGTGGCCGCCTGGATCTAATTGGGGAGCTTTTGTTGGTCTTTAAAGGGATCGCGGCCAAGGGGGTCCTGTCCGCTTGCCCAAAAACGCTCTAACGGTGTGAGATCTATCCGAAAGCGCCTTTATATCCGGCCTCAGCCAATCAGGAGCTCTCGTTCCCAGGCTAGGCATGGAATAGGAGGTCTTTATACTCCTCTTTGGCCAATCAGCAGGCTGCCTTGACATGGAGTCACCCAACCAGATTGCTGCTCTCTGCTGTTCCCCTAGAAGGGGCTGCTGACCATTGTCCTGCATTGGGGGAGGGGGCTATTAAGTCTCTTGGACTACAATTCCAGTCTCTCCTTGCCTACCTGAAGGTCAATGGGAGTTGTAATCCAACTTTTAGAAGATGCATTTTCTTGGGTCCTCTGCCATGCTGGCCTCCCTATTTTAAGTTGTTTATCCGTTGGAATATCAAGTTAGTAGACTTGTTCAGCAACTTCCAGGCATGGAAAAGGCTTCAGTTATGGAATTGTTCTTCCTGTGGGCCGGGGGAATGAAGCCTCAGTCTTGGCTTGCTATAAATATCGGGGGGGGGGGGGGGTTTTTGGGGTCTAGATAAAGCCAATTTGGTCTAGAAGTTAAGGCATCAGGCTAGAAAGCAGGAGACTGTGAATTCTAGTGCAGACTTATGAAAGCCAGCTAGGCGACTTTGGGCCGATCACCAGGAGACGGTGAGTTCTAGTCCCGCCTTAGACATGAAAGACGAGTGGGTGACTTTAAGCCAATCTGTCTCTCTCGGCCCCCAATATACCTTACAGGGCTGTTGTGGGGAAAATTGGAGGCGGAGAAAGCATCAGGTTTGTTCTTCTCCTAATTTATAACAAGTAATAAAAAAGACCTGGTGCAGATGAATAAATGCGAGTCTTAAATGCGAGAATCAGTTGTCAAGCATCGGATCGTGGCCGCAGGGAGGCCGTGAACGGTCGTTAAGGGTGAAAAACGGCTGCGAGTCAGCCTATTTTTTTTTTTTTAGTGCCCTGGGCGAACCCCTTGTGAAACTCCCGCCGTGGGTCTGGGAGGGAAGGGCTGTGTGGTTGCGTCTTGCTGAAATGCAGCAGGAGGCGTGCACAATTCGACAAGCGGCAGGCCTGGGAGCGGATGGTGTCAGGAGGCAGCTGGCCTTAATTGCACCAGCCAGAGTGGTGGTGGGGAAATGAAGAACCCCAAAAGACCCCACAGTGGTGGAAACACCATAATGAGGGCTGATATATTTGCATACTCATTATGCCTTTGCATGGTGTTCTGCCTTGATCTGCTTAAACTAATAACCCGTTTTGGCAGGGCGCGGGATTCGACACAGCCGCAAGTTGTGCCAAGCGCTGCTGGCTGGAGTAAAGCCTTCCTCGTCTCTCTCCCCCCCCCCCCTCAATCCGCTCCTTGAATTGGAACCCAGTATCTTGGCATAACGTCGCCTAATAAGCTGAAGTGCGTGGTCCAATCCAATCACCACCACCTCCGCTCTGGTTTTTTGGCAGAGCAGAAGGGAACTGGAGGAAGGAGTGGAGATAATGAAGTGGATGAGGACTGTTAGAGTGGGAAGGCGGGGG